ATATATATATATATATATATATATATAATTAATTAATTAATTAATTAATTCTTTTTACATATTATAGGTGTTGTTATGCCTATAACAACACTTATATCAAAGAACATGGCATTTACAAGAAGATCATTGATGTATCCTTATACATGTACAAATAGCATACTATATTTTATTATTGTTGTCAGCAACCCAAACGCATACTTAATTATAAAGGGGCGGAACTTTGATTGGTGTTCTCCGAAGTAGAGTCACTTGGCTTTTCTTTGGCGAGCCTTTTTGCCATTCTCCGGTTCTTCACTTTCACTGATTTAGCACCTAAACCAAGTTGTGTTGAATAAACGTCAGAGACAACATAACGTGTCTATATACTAGTTTTAGATAAATAACAACAACACATTCATAAAGGGTAAGTCAAAGTGTTGTTTAGTATGAGAACCTTCCTCAGAGGCATTTGATCGAACAGGTGGAGCGTCCTGTCCAGCTTGGGTGGGCCTGAGAGGCAACAGCGGCCCAATAAGTTTTCCGCGATGAGTGGTTTCCTCCTTGAGCTTCTTCTTGCGAATTTTCTTTCGTTGAGCCCTGGTGAGCTTCTCCGTCTCGGAATCACCGCTCGTGGAGGCATCGTCGTAGCCATCCAAAGTGCCTACATTTTCAAAATGGCAATAAAAGAAATGTTTGAACATGTGTGATTGTTAAAGTATATGGTGCTTGCAGACCAAAATGGTACCCGAAATAACGTCAGAACGAGAGTCGTCAGTGAAAGGTTCCTGAGGTTGGAATTGATCTTGTTGGTGCTAGAGGATAAAAAGAATAACCTAAGCATGGAATTGAAGAAAAAATATGAAGTAAGAAGAGATATATATACATACTGGTAGTGGTGGAGGAGAGGGATAGAGCATATTAACGATGCCTTCATTGAATCTGCGTTTTCTGTCATCCGTGTTCATGAAACCAAACCGATACGTCGATTAGAGAACCAAACGAGAATGGATGCATCCACGTTAGTTCAAATATTTGTTTCCTGGGAAGGGGTGCCTAAAAAAGGTTTCGGAGTTGTTGGGAATTGGGATCACACTTTATTTTGTCACTGGATTCAAAATTTTAGGGTGTGTTTGCTTTAGAAAACATTTTCTATTTTCTATTTTTTATTTTAATTTTCAAAAAATACTTTTTATTTTAAAATTTAAAAAATATGTTTGATTTGACTATTTTTAATAATAAAAAAATTAGATATTTTTTTTATAAAATTTATTATCAAAATTACTTTTCATATCTCAATAAGAATAATATTTTATTTTGTAAATATTCACTTTTTCCATCCTATATTATATTTAATATTATTTGAATAATTTCCTCTTATAATAAATGAAATAAAAAATGTGTAAATATATAACTTAAAATATAGCAACCAAAACTTAATCATACTAAACATTCATCTTATTTAATAGATATTTTTCAATTAAAATTATTAAATAATATGAACAACATATATAATTAAAATTTTATAGAATAATTATATCTAATAAATATTATAATATTAATATTAATATATAATACATATGAAAATATAAACAAAACTTATTTTTACAAATATAAAAATATAAGATAAATTGATTGAATGACATGTATAAAGAAATTTTAGTGGTGAAATATTTTCTTCAAGTGGTGCCAGTTCAACGAAAAAGATAAATTATTTCAAATTTCTTCACACTTTTAGGAGGAAAATAAGTGAATTATAAGTAAATTAAATAGAGATTTAAACTTTTGAAAGAGAGAATTCTTAAAAAGAATTTTAACCAACTTAATGATTCAAACTTTTTTAGAAATTTTCTTTTCTATTAGAAACCTTGAAAAAGTTTGAGGAATGTCAAGAATAACTATGACAATTTAGCTCCTCCAAAGATTTTCATGTACATATGTATATCTATACTATTAATAAAAGGAATTGTCTCATTTCATATTTATATTTTTAGACAATTTTTCTCTTATAATTTTATTTTATAAATTTCAAAGTTTTTATTCGTATCTGTAAATTTCTTTCTATAATTACTTGTATTTTTAATAATCATTCATTTTTATATATTTTTTTATTTATTATTTATAAAAATAATTTACAGAAAGATTTAGTGTCTTTTGTATGTTAAATTCATTCATTTTTAAACAAATATAACATTTATTACTTTTGGGCCTTAGTTTTCTACTTTTCATCCTTTCTCTGGGCTCTCGTGGAATTTTGTTGTACCATGGGCCGAAAAAGACACAGCATATGTCTGCTTAGAAATTTTTGGACAAAAGAAGAGGCAAGCTCATTAGTCACCGTCGCATGGCTATATGAAAAACAACAATGGTTGGATAATATTTTTCATAAATAATCATACCATTTTGTTCAGGTGTTTCAACGCATGTGGTTTGATGAACATGATACAGAAAATGATCAAAGAACATGGCATCCATAATGCAGAAACAAAGAAAAGCACAAAATACACACAGATACAGAAAATGATCAAACAACAGCTTAATCTCTTTATTGAGTGAATAGCAATTTATATACAAGAGAATGAAGAATAAAAGCTGACGAAAAAGAAAGCAGCTGTAATAACCTAAGTGCTTTACAACAGAAAATAATATTGCATAACAAATTACGGGTAAGAACTTACAAAAATAATCTTAAAGACTTAAATAATTTCAAAATTAAAAAGCCCACAAATCAGAGAAGCTTATTGTAGGCAGAGGATGTTTAATAAGGGCAACTACTTCAGAATCAGAGGATTCGCCTTAATTGATCGGTCTAGAGCCACAAATAATAAACAATAAATAAATAAAAAAGAATATAATTAAAATAGGTTATAATGTTGCTCGTCATTCATCATGCTTGTGTGCTAATTAAGTTATAACCAGGGAAGGGACGAATTCAAATAAATATATAAGTAGAATTTAAAACACGGGATTGTATTAACAGATATTATTGTGTATAAAAATTATAGTTTACATGTTTTATTTTTTATTACTTTATTATTTTTGAAAAGGATACCGGAAACAAGCTAACCCCTCGTCGTCCCAGGTTGTCATATTGGTGAATAGCACATTATTATAGTTTTAATACTCGTGCAAGTTATATAGCTAACCATGTCCTTTAATGGCTGAATGAAGAATAGTTTGAAGAAAAAAAAACACGTGAGAATGCATATTTTAGTTTAGTTAGATTTAGACGAAACAATATATTAATCTCTACAAAGATAATTGAAAATCAAATATGTCTCTTAAAATTTCAATTACAAATATGTTTGTACGTATAATTATAAAGTGTACGTAGTTACATCCTTTAAAAGTACCCTAAGCATCCCGCTTTTCAACCACACTTGAATTTCTTATTTCTTATTTTCTTTTTTGGTTACGGTTTAAGAGGTGACATTCGGAATTAAAATTGGAGATATAAAAAAAATACCCATGTCATGTATGCAGACCTTATTATTCCCTCTCCAATTCTCCATCAATAAATAGTTAAACACACCGTCCAGACAAAGTGGACACAGCTTGAAAATGAAGTTTAGTAGAGCAGAGCACTATGTTTGGCTATATTTTGGTAGTGCAGTTGTATAGCCAACCTTTTAGATTTGCTTCACATCTTCCTTGTTTGGTAGATTTTCGTTTTTTTCTAGCTAAATTAATAATAGTAATATTATTCAATGCTAGTAATTTCTTATATTTAATTCTTCAATTAATTTATTAAAACGTATAAACATTTATTATTATTATTATTATTATTATTTATTAGTAATATTTATGAAAAATATGAACGTTCTGAAATTGGGAGTTGCAACTTGCAAGCAATTACTCGATTGATGAAAGGAAAGGTGAAGGAGGAAGGACAGCAAGGTCGAATTTGTGCCTTGCCCTCGTTACTCGCAAACGTACTCTATTTTTTAATATTACCACTTGATAACCATCATCTTCCTCATAATTATATATTTATCCACTACATTTATCTTTATTTATTTGAAAAGCGCGCACAAGAGTGCCACGTTTCATTCCCACTGCTATATTCTCTCCGTGTACATTGGGGGTTCATTTATTAGACTGTAAATTAGTAAACTTTAGAAAGAAGAAAATTGCATAATATTTATTTATAAAAAAAGTGTAAAATGAGAAGTGCGGCTACTGCTGAGTGCTGACGGAAGCTTTGTAGCATCCAGATCTTACATTACAGCCGAAAGAAGTTTCCTTTTTTTCTCTCTCTCTCAGTCTCAGTCTCAGACACTCTTTGATTGAAGAT